AAAAAATAGTAGCAAGTGGCTCACATATCCAATCTTTAACCTCCTTCAAAACCCTTGGAGAAATATTGTCTGGCCCAGGAGCCTTATCATTTTTTAAACTCCCCAATTTATTCGTAACCAGCTCAGAATTAATGCAGTCATCTTGTTTGATCTTGTTTCCATTTATCAAATGATCAAGATGTGGAATACTGCTTAAATCTTCAGTTGTAAAAACTGAAGAAAAAAGTAAAAGTTAATAACCCAGCCATCTCATAATCATCAGATATTAGCCTTCCTTTATCATCCCTCAAGGGTCCCTATCCTATATATTTAAAGAAATCCTTATTGTTAATTTTTACATTTTCAGCCATCTTTTTCTCATGCATCCTTTTTTGATGTCCTAATTTCCTGTTTCACCAGCTTTCTTGGTCTTCTATAACCTTATAAGTCTCCTGTCATACCGGTCGATTTAAATTTGTTAAATTTATGATGCTTTACTTTAATTTTATTTCTTAAACTCTTTGTGAGCCAACAGTGATAAGAAGGTGGCAGTTAAAACCATGATAATGCTACTGACATTAAACTACATGTCAGGAAGTCCCTTTGCTGATTGCACACAGTTTGCAAGTTGCTACATTTCTCTGCATTCTCTAATCTTGCCATGCATGCCCCAAATAAATCAGTGCTTTGCAAATGTAGTAATACATCATCACACAAATATTTTTACCATAATTAATGACCTACATTTATCACAACTGCATGTTATCAGTTAGTACATGTACAACAAAAAATTCAGATTTAAGCTTAATTCCTGGAAGTAAATCTACACAAGTAAAGTGATACCACTTTTGCATGTACTGCATAAAACCATCTCATCTCCAAAATCATGTGAATTATTGGTGTTAGTCAGGTAAGCTAACTTAAACTGTTGATGTCAGTGTCAGTAGCTTTTCTTTAGCAGTGACTGCCATCAGTCAGTTAAAATATTAAGTCAGTGGCTTTTATTGCACCTTTCTTGCCAAAAGCCTAATAAACAAGCTGTCAAAGTATTTACATTTTATAGTTTTGATCATAAAAGACTTACATGAGCTAGTTATCATAACTTTGTAACAGTGGAGTAGCCAGATGGGGGTCAGGGAGGACTGAGCCCCCTCTCTTGGCAGAATCTTCATCCCTATCTAGCAGGTTCCCCAGTACTTTTGCTTGCAGTGAGATAATTAACTTGAATAACTTATCCATTCTTTTTATTTTACTTTTCCATTGACATGCTTTAGTCATAAATAGTTGTCAGATTTATGCCAAGTAAGGTTTTTAATTGGAAATATAAGTCTTGTATTCTCCTTTTGGTTTATTGGAAGAGTACTGTCTAATTTGGAGAAAATAAGATTATTAATTGTAATTATATTTAGTGTTTGATACAAATTCTCAACTTGGGTATTGGTAGATTCCAAAACATGGACATCTCATGGGATCTATCTGTATAAGTACACCAAACATCTCATAACTCATCATTCTGAGTTTACTTTAATACAACCCTTTCCTGTTGTTTGGAGTAACTCTGTTTATATTTTCTTTTATTCATTAAAAAATATTTAATAAATTTGCATACCAAGTGATGGACTAGCCCAGGAGGTTAAGTACCCAATAAGTTTGTAAATAAAGGTGGTTTGAAGGACAAAGTAACTGAGAAGCACAATAAAAAAACTTAAGTTTATAAATTTATTGCAAGTATATTATTAATGCTCATTTTTATGATTTCTTACACAATTACTCATGTTGAAGAAAAATGGTATTATAAGATACTAATTTTATTGAGGAAAAGTGTATGAATTTGTTTTGCTTTAAAATTTGACTGTTACATTTGCTGGAAAGTATTGCACTTTTGAATTACTTCACAGGTAATAATGGTACCATCTTACAGATGCAAGAGAAGCTCTATTACATGTTCCACTACCAGATTTTGCTATGGAACAAGAATTTTTTTGTTTAAAATCTGGGTCAGAAAAAGAAAAGAAAAGTCATGATCTTACACTGCATGAAAACGAGATAGGGAATGAGGATGCTATACAGGTAAAATATATAATTTATAAATATGTACGTATTGAAATGAGTTATAAGTAGATTCAACCTTTTACTACTTAAATTTTAGCTTGCCTCTCATATTTAGCATTCAGTTATACAGCCGTTTCACTTATAAGGTAGCTTTAATTATATTGGAATACAATCACCACCATTCCTGTTGGAAACTTTAATTCTATTTATTGATTAAAGATATGAAATAACTATATCAATATATATATGTATGTTCATTATCCAGAGAGCTTAGGAAGATCCATATATTTAGAAAGTAAGTTAGAATGTAAAGTTTACTCTTTTGGCTTGTTGATAGGCTTCATCTACAATGTTTTCAAGAATGATTAGGTTGGAAATAGTTACAGGACATAATACATACTTACATACTTTGAAATTATAGATGTTTTACAGATATAACAAATTCTCTATTCAAATGATTAATTTGTAGAATACTTTTTTGAACAAGGCAGTAAGGGCATTTAACTTGGGTATTTGAAACTGTCAGATAATTAAAATGGACATAAGTTAAATGGTATATATATATATATAATGTTGATTGATGAAAAGAGCTTTATGTCACTCATTCATAATCATTGGGCTAAGCATCTTTTATTTTATTATTCATAGTTTCATTTTATAGAAAATAAGCACCTGTTTCACTTTAATTTTTGTACAGTGTACTTGTAGAACCCCTGGACTAATACAGTGACTAACCGCTTAATTCAAACAGTGTAATGGTACATCAGTTTATTGCTTGAGCCCCATAACTGAAGAGATTTAATTATTTATTGGTCAACATGACAGTGTTCAAGAGCAAGAGTTTCTCTGGATTTCAATGTCTATTATAGTGGCCATCTTGCAAGATTCTTATTATCAAAGACCTTTTTTTTTTCCAACCAACTGTTTAAGACATTTGTCATCTGCCATTATTCCTGGTAAAAATAAAACATCTACCACTAGGATAAATTGAGGCCATTAACCACTGACAGCAAAAGATGGAGGAAAATCATTTGACAGACAAAGGTGTCAAGACTGTGTACCTGAACACTATTGTTTGTCATGTCCTTTAAATAAGTCTACGTTTCCATACTTATAGATAGGAGTTCATCCAAGACAAAAAATACAACAATCTACCACTTACTATGAAGATATATCACAGAGCATGATAGTGACTTAGCTTTCGTGATCACTTTAAGCATTGGATCTTGATCTTATTATGTATTTTTCAATTAATTTTTCAGGCCATACTCATCAACTAAAGGGCTACAATCATTTGAATCAAACAAAACACCCTCTGACATCCTGTAGAATCAGTGCCATGCTGAGTCCATGTTGTTATCATGAGGAAAGGTTGTCCAATCAATATTACATTGGGCATTGTTCTTAGGTGCATTATTTAATCAAATAAAAAAATTATTTCTTGTAGTAGTAGTACCATTGGTATAAAAACAGTAGACTTAAGTTTCCACTTACAGTTGGCAAATAAAAAGAAGATCCAAATAGTACTATATTTCTTGTTTTTCATGTGTAATCTTTATTTATTATTATAAAAGTAACTAAAATGTAAAATTTAGAAACTTATTAGGTTAGATAAGGTAAGATAATTAAAAAAGAATAATAATACAAAATTTTCATGAAATATACTTGTGAGTAGCTCATGCATTATGTAATTTGATATGGTAACATGAGCTGCATGTTTGCCAAGTGTTTTACAACTTGTGTGGTGGGATTATTAGTTAGACATGGATCAAAGGTCAATAAAGGAACAAAATTAAGTATTAAGTATTAATAAATATATATGGTTACTAGCTTTAATTTATTTAGGATAAACAATTGTGGTTTCCTGATACAATTTGCAGTCATTTTGGAAAGAAAAATAGGTAATTTAGATTTATTTCCTAATTTTTTATGGTGGTTATGAGATTGGTCAACTCGACTAACCATATGTAGAATTAGGGTAGAGAAAATAACAAATAAAATATATTGATATTTATTTAGGAGGTTTTAGATATTATGCAAATGAAATTTGACAATTTTCAGATGAATAAAAGTATTTTTAATCTTATAATCTTAACATGAAAATCACTCTGCACTCAGAGCTGTCAACACTTTGACTCCATATGTTCACGGAGAAATTTTAACAAAAATACTTAATTAATAAATCAGATTTTCTGTTTACAAAAGCCTTGTAATGTTTACTGACATTTTGCAAAAATTTCCCGAAGATATGCATACATTATCAAAAATTATAGTATGACTAATCTCATGGTTACTTTGGTGGTTATAACTTAGGTGCAATGCAATGTATGGAAAGAGTTAATTAAATTTTGTATCTAATACTGTAAGGATCATAACCCATGCAAAAGGGCCACTTCCATATGTATAATGTTAATATGTTAGTTAAAATATAGTAGTTGATTTTTACTATTAAACATGTCTTGACCTTTTTTATATTAACTAAAGTTTCACAATAAATCCTTTGAGAATACTTGAGAAAGGAAGTATCTGATTTTTATTTCTGTATACAAATGTTTAGGTTAAAGAGGAATCTTCTAGTGGATTAATAGCATGTGAAACCATTCTGCAGGTAAGTGAATATGAAGAAAATCGGGACAAAAAAGGCAAACAGCAGTACAACCTTAGTTTACAGGAAGAATGCCTTGAAGCATCAGTAGAAATGGAACAAATGGAATCCAGTTTTAAAATAAGTGGAAGTAAGTGTGACTACAATATTGTACATGTAACACATTCTATGATGGACTGTTATATTTACAGTAGAGGAAAGTCAAGATATTTTTATCAATCTTGTGGTGTAATTTCTATAGTTGTTGAGATCCAAAGATAAGTTTTTGACAGAATATTTTTTTTTCAATTCATAATTCTTTTAAGAGTGCATAAGACAGAAGAAAAATATTAGTGAAGTTTACATGAATCGTGCCTATGGGCAAATCACCAAAATACAATATTTCATACACCAAGTACTTTCTCCATATGCACCTCTGAGGAGCCAGTAGTAGTTAAGGGTATCCTATAAACGAGAAAGCAAAAGTAAGTCTTTTAATATTAAAACTAAGAAGTTTCTAATAATTTGCATTTTATACTTTAGAGCTGGGAAATTAGTGAAATTTGCTAATTGATTGTTAGGCTCATTAATCAGTTACGTTCAACTAATCAGTTATTCTTACATAAGACATGTATAGTTGGAATAGTAATAATTAGAAACACTGATTTCAATTAGTTGAATATTTTTGTAAATCTTAACACTAATTAAACAAAACAACATTGAATTAATCATAAATAATAATGAGAAATCATAGTGGCAATATTTGGATTACTTGTGCAGTTGGAATAACCGAAAAACAATAATAATTAGAAACACTAATTTCAGTTAGTTGATTATTTTTATAATGTTAATCAATTTAATTATAATTTCAATTAATTGATTATTTTACATGATACTAACCATCTTGGGTAAACAAGTTAATTGCCCAGCTGTAATATACTGATTTGTCTATGTTTGCAAATATGATTCAAAAAATTTCCAGCAAATAGCACCACAAGTAAGATGTTCAGAAATTTATCTCTCTGCTTCATATGCCTGAATATTTCTTGATACAGATGCCATCAGGAAGCACTAAAATGAATATATTTATCAGCAAGCCTACTATATCTTTATAGTAATTTATAGAAACAATATATTTTCCGTAGTTACAAAATGTTTCCTACAATTTATTTGAATTCATAATTGAGAGTACTTCCGATAGATTAATTTCAGATTAATATTAAATTTAATGTAAAAATTTGTATCTAGACAGTCACAAAGACTAGTGAATAACTTTTGATAATTCTTAGTGTGAATTTAACAAATTTTTATTTTGTTTAAAATTAGATAGTTTTTATTGATATTTTATTAAAATTAGATGTACAAAGTTCATTAATTTGTAATTAGTTTAGATGTTGTTTTTCAGCAGTAGCATTAATTCAGAAATGTTTGTTTTACACATTTATAAACAAAATTGACACTGTTCATAAGTGCTTCATTTCATTAAAAGTATTTAAGTTTTTTCTAAACCATAGTATGAAGGACACTAAAGCACAACTAGGAACAAAGTGTTTCAGACAAATATACTTTGTCGAAAGCACTAGGATTCCAAACATACATACCTCCGCTGACACTTATAGCTATTTCTCAATCTCCATCTTTGCCATCTAACATTGTGTTCGCTTGCTCCACTCTTTATATACCCCACTCGACTGCCCTTTGCAATATCTAGTTTCCAAAACTTTAAACCAGCCCTCACATGACCTCTATGCAGGTACTGTACATGAACACTGTATGCAGACAATAAAATCACTTTTTTTTGACAAAGTGCATGCATTGAGAGTCACATTTTATGGTTTATATTTTCAGTAGTTCAGTTTCATAATAGTTAGGTGTTTTTTTGGTTTGTTCTCCATTGCTAATATTTCGTTGGTTTTCTTCTGAGGTTACAAAAAAAAAAGGTGGGTATGAATTCCCGTGTAATTGTTTCTGGCATGGAGGCTAACAAGCCCTCGTCCATTCCTTTTTTGTTATCTGGTGGTAGTCAGCAGTCGGGGTGGGGGATCTGCTCTCAGTGGAAGCTGTTCGTGACCTGATTCCGGGCGAGATGGAGTCCTTCATACAGCCTGGGAGTGTCTCCTTGGGAGGTTCTTATTTGGCTTTTCATCATGAACCTGAATATTCTGGGGGAGAATTTAGACTCCCTGTTTCCTGCTTCTTCTTTCACTAGGGCTCTCTGATCTGATCAGCCACTTTCTGACCCTTTTCTGCAGTTAGTTACCCGAGTTTATGAAGTTTTGGGGATTAACTCTGTTGCTTTTGAGTCTTCCCCTGTCTTGTTGTCTGATCGATCTCAGGGGGATTACATAGTTCTTTCTCCTTCCCCTGATATTGCTTTGCATGCAGGGAGGTTTGCAACACAATTACGTGAGGGTGTTGCTATGCCTTCCCCCCTCATTTATCTGAACAACATGCCCTGACTTATCATCGTGAGGATGATGTATATTTGGACACTCAATGGTTGGATCTGTTGTTGGATCTATGGGGTTCCAGGTTAGGACCTGTTATCACTCTTAACAGGTCTCAATTTTTGCGGAATCATTTGACTCGTACTACTGTTTTAGAATTCTTCTCTTTCCTTCATTTTTTGTCTGAAGCATATCACCACTCTCCTCATAAATTTGATGATGAACTGGGCCCTTTACTGGTTACTTCTGTGATGTGTTTGTCCTCTTCAGGCCTTACCTTAGTGTTGTAATTGGTCTGTTGCTGGAGCTGTTGTTTGTGGAGCAACTCGAAGTATTATTGAGCCAAACAAACTGTATAAGGGTTTTTTTTTTTTTATATTGATTCATGATTCATGATATCATTGAGTCATGATATTGCCTTATTTGAGATTATATGTTTGCCCTCCACTGCTCTTCGTGATTTAAGGGAGGCATCTTTTCTTTGGCCTTACTAGTTTGCTGGAATTCAAGAATCTTTAGAAGCCTGAATTGATACATCACATTTGCATTCTTTTTTTTTATTGTCTTTGGCTGCTCGCCTCTCTTCTACTCCAACAGGTACTTCTGGAGGATCGTCCATTCTCGTCTCACAGCCCCCTCCTTTAACACCTCATCCTGTTGTTTCTCAGAATCATTTCTGTCCATATTCTTGGGTATCTTTGGATAGATCGCGATGGCAGCAGCTGCGTCAGTGACTACCTATTTTCACCAAATCCTGTGGGAGGACGGTTACATCTCTTTCATCACATTTGGCATTCCTTCACCATCGATCATTGGGTTCTCAGAGTGCTGGATTTAGGGTTAGAGATTCAGTTTACTTCTTCCCCTCCTCTGTCCTCCAATAAGTCATTTTTTCTCCTGCTTCAGACCTCAGACGTGCAGACCTTCGTTCCCGGGCCATTCAGGAGCTGTTCTTCAAATGAGCCATCGAGAAGGTCGATCCCATTCATCTAGGAGTCTATTCTCGTCTATTGCTGGTGCCAAAGAAAACTGGAGATTGGCGGCCTATCATCGATCTGTCTCGACTCAATCATTTCCTTCAGCCTACTTGTTTTACCATGGAATATTTTCCTCAACTTAGATGGCACTTCACACCAGGTCTTTGGATGACCAAGTTCTAGAAGGTTCTAGAAAGTGTTTCATCTATAAAATCAGCAAGGCATCATTCCAAAAGACGACAGAGAACAGAGGAGAGATAAGTCTGCTATGAAACGGTTATAACCATGTAAGCTATATGCTGTGATTTGTCTAACCCCTATCAACCAGAAAATACATGACATTTGACAGGGAATAGTTATAAATTTCAAACGTCAGTGAATTCCCATCGAACGTTAATATCTCTCCAAGAATATTCCTAATTTCTCATCGGACATTAGTGATTTTGTTAAAATATTATCTTACTTCCACGGTCCAACAATTCAATGCCCAACACAGCTAGCTAGGTTCCTGCCAAATTTTGTATGTACGTACAACTCGCTGGATATCAAGGAGACTCTGAACTAGGAAGACGGTTTTAGGCTATTTGTTAGTTAGTGAAATTTCTGTTTATGAAACTTTGTTTGTAATAATTAATCATAAGAG